AAAAAAAATCTAGTCTGTGTAATTAAAATGAATTATCAGAGCGTGGTAAGAAATGCTCTCTTATCTCAGTGGATATGCATAACTATTGATGCTACCTGTGCCAGTGTGACGTTCGATACATACAAATAAGTATGTTTATAATATGCCCTTGATATAGATTAGAGAGCTAGTGTTTGTATTAAAAAAAGACAAATTAAGGCAACCAGAGTAAAACTAGCTAGGGAACTAAATTCAGCTGCGATAGTGATATATCCATATACAGTCAGTTTTATTGTTGTGGAGCTTCCTGGATCCCCCACACTATTCCGACACAGTCTTGCAATAGGTTCACTAGTCAGCTTCTTGAAACAACCTTCTCTCTTCTTGTAATTAGTGACTGGGGACTCAACAATATGAAATGCTTTCCCTATATCCCACTAGAATGTAAAACCTAGAATGTCTTATCTCCTGCTCCTGTTAATAGCCTTCTAGACTCTGCAAGAATGTCCTGTGTGATAAAAGTTCAATTTACAGTTTAGGAGATTAAAAACTTCTAACTTAAGTTAACATCTGATTGAAGATAAAAACTATATTTTTTTTCATGCAGGCTGTGTGAGCCACTATCAGGGGAAGTGTGACAAAGACTGCATAAATAAAAACAAAAGAAATTTTTGGAATGGCAAAAAATTGAGCAGTGAGACTCCAGGGACATGATCTATGCACCCAAACTGCTGCATAAAACATTTTTTTAACCCCTTAAGGACCAAACGTCGGGAATAAAAGGGAATCATGACGTGTCACACATGTCATGTGTCCTTAAGGGGTTAAATTAAGATTATTCAAGATACTATTAAGGAACACTATAGTGTCAGGAATACAAAGTGTATTCCTGACACTATAGTTTGGAAACCACAGTTTATGACGCCCCTTTTCAACAGTTAAGTCGCAGGACTTCGGAGTTGGGATAGCGGCACTGGGATAAAGTAAGTAAAAAAAGGGTTTTTAACCCTTTATTTACCAATAGGGGGGGTGCAAGGGAAGGGGAGACAGTGGTAGTGATAGTGAAAGGAATACAACTTTGTATTCCTTACACTATAGTATCCCTTTAAGCTGTAGACATTCATTCTGATGAGTATAGTGTCCCTTCAAATTTTAATTAAAAATACCTGAACTGGAAGAATCCCTTAGCCAGCTATGCTTTCAGCTTGACTACTGTAGCCTTGTATTTGAAACAAACTTTGGATTTTCCTTGTCTCACTGATGGTCTTCCTACTGATCAACTATAACTACTATAAACATCTGCTATTTTTAGTTATATTCATATTCCTACTTAAAGGCAGTAAGTCAAATGTATTTATTTTATTTTATTTTATGTTCTTTCTTTTCTTCTTCAGTTAGCCTGGATGTGGTGGGAACAAACAAATTAGGGTACTCACAAGATGTACATGTAATCTATTACCAATTGGCTGCAAAGCCAGTGGAAAGCTATAGATTACATTAAAGGTCTTTTTAGGCCCTCGTCTTTCTCTGTTGAAACCTTCACTGGTGGAAAACTAGCATGAGATGCTATTTTAAGACCCTTCCATCCCTTTTTTGGCAGAATATGAGACTGATTAGAAACAAGAATATTGGTTGGACAGCCACAGGTCTCGGAAGTTAGGATCATCTCTATGGAATTCATGGGATTCTTGACATCCACTTAGGTTTTCTTTGCATGGCATGGCAATTTACCTGGGTCTGTAAGGTTTTAATGTCACTGCACAGAGCAAAGAAGGACTGCAATCACTCGCTGAGTCTCTCAGCCAATGAACATGGTCCTCTAATGGCTCACTTTGCTCTACATCATACTGTCTTTTCCTGTTGGAGAAACCTGTATGCAGGTGTCTTTCTCCTTGTGCTATTTCGATATATCTGCCGGCAGCTCAAACATGGAGTATACTTTTGGTTATGCAATATATTTATTTGTAGATATTTTTTTTCCCCCAATTAAATTTGTAGGTTTAGTTATTTTCTCAGATTAAAACTTATATTTTGTTTTCTGGGGATGTTTTGTTCTAAACATGAAAATATATGGCAAGGATTTTTAAGTGTCCCAGATAATTAACAGATAAATTATAATCTTGTGCCATCGGTTCTGGCCAATAAAAGCGTATGCTGTAATCTTGTGACTCACATTATGATGAGTCTGTCTTTGTTTCTCTGTCTGAGCAATTCAAAAGACAAGCTTGAGCTGAAATAAATATCTCCGCTACAAATATGTCAAACATTTTGAGCACCCAGGGAGGAAATGGGGACAGAGGGAATTTGGTCAGAAAGAGGAACTGCCCCTCTTAAAGAGGTAACATTGAGGGTATGTTTGCATAACAAACTATGGATGAGCATGTTGAGAAGGAATTTAAGACTAGCAGTACAGAAAGTAACTGAATGTTACTGGCACAGAACATGAAACAAAATAATCAGACAATGTGGTTACCAGACAGAATCAGGAAAGCAACTTCCATAAACACATATGAAAGTGCAAGCAAAAGTGACAAGGGGTCACAGAAATCACACATCATCTTAGAAAACACCTACGGGCAGAAGGAAGAAACCTCTATGCCAACGTGAGATGTTGTAGGGTATGTTAGCCAGGAGTTGAATAAAATATTAGTCATGGCCTAAAGGGGGGTTGAAATTCAGGATTCCCCTAATAGTTTAAGAAAATTACAGCAGGTAATACTAACCTTGGGTGCAGGTATTAACTATGGCACCTGGTGTTGGAATGAAATAAACATGTTATCATGCACAGAGTGAAAATTGCTATTCTCCTTTGGGGCAAAAAGCAATATTTTAAGTCATAATATAGAGAGACAAAGAATAATGTTCTAATTTACTATAACTAATAAAATCAGCAGATTTACATCCAGTGGCGGAGAAAATGCATTGGATTAAGCTGATCAGTACTAGAAACCTGTTGTAAGAATTCCCCCTGAGACAAGAAAATAATCTTGGTTACAAAATTGACTACATTTTGAAATCAATGTTTGTGGTCGAATAGTGAATGTAATCTCTGCGGAATGGTTTATGAGATGCATGTTTTTGATTAGCAGCATCAGGAATGTTCTCAGAAATTATATTTTAGAGTTATTCTTAAACAAAAATATGATTGCCCTTATCAACAGAATATATAGTAATTATCTATAAATATTGAAAAGAAATGGAAATGGGAAGATAGAAATCGAACACCCTTTGCATAAAATATTATTTTCTTACTTTGCTCCTCACTCAAGCCATGGTTTGTTTTTCTATTTATGAAACACTCATTTTTAATATGGGGTTGACACTGACAATAATAGCACAGGTTACTGTCACCTTCATTTAAGAGTATGAACAAAGCCACTAAAATTAGTTTGTTAGTATTGTTGCTATCAGGACCAGCTCTATCGAAAGGGCAAATACCTACTCTGATAAGTGGTCTGGCTGAACCTTGGGGCCCGCATGTTGCCCTGTAAAACTATGCAGTTTACTTGAAAAGATATAAATATCTCTGCAAACTGAACTTCAACGTGGAACTGTGAATGAGTGAATTACTGGGCTGTGCTGTCTGCCCCGTTTCAATTTCAATATTTAGTGGAAGAATGTGAACCTGAAAGTGTTTGTATGACAGTGTAAGTGTGTTTGTAAACATGTGCCTGAGAGTGTGTGTATCTGCCAATATGTGTCTGTTGATGAGTAATTGTATGTGCGTTTCCTGCATTGTGTATCTGTGTGTGAGTCGAGCGGTGGGTATCTGTTTGTGTACCTGGCAGTGTGTGTGCGCATGTGCACCAGGCATTGTGTATTTGTATATGTAACTTGTGTGTGACAGTAAGTATCTCTGGCACTTTGTGTTTGATTATGTGCATCTGGCAGTGTGCTTGTGTCTGTGAATGTAGTTATGTGTGTATCACTGAGTGAGTCTGCAATGCAGATATATGTTTGTGCCTAAGTGTGCATCTATGGGGCTGGGTGAATATGTGTCAGGCCAGGCCGGGGGGATTATAAGGGGCCACAAGCATTCTAAGGACAGCCCTGGCTTCCACTGAAAGCCTATTCCAAATATACACAACCTTTTCTCTAAAAAAGCATTCAGTAATATTATACTCTAGTCTTCTACCCTCTAACAAAACATTCATTTTTACAAGGACAATTATTCAAGGCCGTATATAGTTATATAATTTAAGAGCATGAAACAAGCCTATACTATATGACTGTATGGCTATAATTTGTGTAAAATCAGGTCAGGCTAATAACGTGAGTCTGGACATTCCAACACATATGCAATAAATGCAGAATTATTGATCTAGCTAACACACCAGGGTATGTAGAGGACAACATTATATATAGATATATGAAGGGAGGAAGCAGGGAGGATGGGAGCGGATGCATGAATCCCCTTAAATCCTAGTAGGGGGGGGTGGAATGAAAGAGGTAAATCCCCCCCTAGACATGATGGTGTAGCTTTTAAAATCATATGTTTTATTGTTAAGAAAGATGAGAAAAACTAAACGTTGTAAATGAATTGGATATCTTTTCTTTTTTTTTTTTTTTTAAACATTCTTTATTTATTGTTTTCCGGTGTGGAAAAAGAAAACATTAGGGTACAGAAATGAAAGAGGGAGGGGGTGATACAGCCACAATGGTACAGGAGCACAATATTTTACTTGTCTTTGCGCCTTAGGGTGTTGCGAACAAGTAGCTGTGTCTTGGTGCGGTCCGTTGGTTAGGCGTTTATCGTGCTATAGTGCGGGGTTCAGGGATTTCTGTTTTGGACTTATTCCCTTTGCCCGATTCGTTTGGACAAGTCTGTATTGGTGGCCGTATGAGATTTGCGGTTCGTCTCGTTAACCGTTTTGTGGTAGGGTGGGATGCCCTCTTTTGACTATTTTTATCATCCTCGTTGCGTACTAATGGGCGCCCCTGTGTCTGGGTAGTCAGTTGGGGGGGGGTGAGAGTACCATGGTGGGACACTGTTTCGGGAGCCCAGTAGACATCCAATGGTTCGATTTGGTGTAATATTTGTACTGTGAATTTCCGTGCGTTGGTATTTTGATCGCTATGTTGGAATAGCGGGCCTGGTGTGTGAGGTGGAGGCTGTCCGTGTGCCCTTATTGTAGGTGGGGATCAGATAACCAGGGGTCCCAGATTCTGTGGAAGTGTTTAGAGGTCTCATGAATTATGGCTGATAACCTATCCATGTGTATTGCTTCCTTGGTTTTGCGTATGATCGTTTGCAGTGTGGGGGTGTTTGGCGATCCCCATACTTCGGCTATTTCCCGTCTAGTCGCTAAGGCTATCCGGTTTGTCATTTTGTTTTGGGCTCTGGTCAGGTCCTCTCATGGTCTGGAGAGGAGCCAGGTCCAGGGGTCTAATGGTATGGTGGTCTGGAGGAGTGTTGAGACTAGGGTAGCTACTTCCGCCCACAATGGGGCCAGTTTGGGGCAATGCCACCATGTGTGTATGTATGTGCCTCTCTGCCCGCAGTTTTTCCAGCATAGGTCCACGTCTGCTTTGCCAATATGGTACAAACGTACCGGGGTTAGGTACCATCGGAGCAGTGTTTTATACGCTTGCTCCTTATGGTTAACGCATATGGATATTGAGGCCGTTGCCTCCCAGATATCTTGCCAGTCAGTGGGGTCGTCCGGTGGCCCTAAGTCCCTCTCCCAGGCCACCACATATGCCGAGGCCCCCTTGGGTTGGTTGGTGATAAGAAGTGTGTAGTTTTCCGTGATTTGACCTTTGTGGAGTGGATTATGTAGGCATGACCTCTCAAACCGTGTGAGCGTGGTGGTGGCTGCTTTGGCGTTGTCGGGTTGCTCTAAGAAGCTTCGTAGTTGTATGTAGCGAAATAAATCGTGAGTGGTATATGTTGCCTGCGTTGGGAAGGTCGTTGTATGGGGTAATTTGCGTTCCCGTGTAGAAGTGGTGCAGTCTGGACAGGTCGTTTTGTTCGTATTGTGCAAAGTCTTTGGGTGTTAACCCTGGGGGGAATGCTCTATTGCGTAGTATTGGCGTCAATGGTGTCGGGTTGTTTATGATGGGGAATTTCCGGGAGGTTTTATCCCACAAGTCTATTGAGTTTGTGATTGCTGGGGGCAGTGGTGGTGGTAGGGGGCGTGATTTCTTTGGTACCCATATGTAGAGGGATGGGTGGTCGCGTCCGAATAGGTCATGTTCCAGGTCCGCCCATCGTTTGATCCCCTGCGGGGTGTGCCAGTGTTGGATCTGTGTGAGCTGTGCGGCGTAATAGTAGTTTTGGAGATGGGGTAGTCCCAGTCCTCCCGTCCTATTGGGGATGTACATGGTGCTCCTTTTTATTCTGGGTCTTTTATTTGCCCAGATAAAGTTGTCTATTAGTTTTTGGACATATTTTGCGTCTGTTGTGGGGAGTGGGATGGGGAGGGTTTGGAATAGGTAAAGGAAGCGGGGTAGGAGGTTCATCTTTACTGATGCAATGCAGCCTAACCATGATAATGATAGGTTTTGCCATCTTTTGAGATCTTCCGTTGCTTTCTGTATCATTGGGGTATAGTTCAGGGCGTATGTGCGGTGTAGTGCTGCTGGTAGCTGTATACCTAGGTATGGGATGTGGGATGTGTTGTAGCGAAACCTGTATGTTTCCAGTAGTGTCTCCATCGTGTTTTGGTCGATATTTATGCTAAGTGCCTCTGTCTTGTCCAGGTTTAGTTTATATCCTGAGGCTGCTGAGTATTCTTTCACCAGTTGTAGGAGTGGTGGGAGGGCGGTGAGGGGTTCAGTTAGCGTTAGGAGTAGGTCATCGGCGTACGCCGCCACCTTGTAAGCTTGGAAGCGTACTGTAATGCCCGTGATGGTAGCGGTGGTGCGTATGAGGTGTAAAAGTGGTTCCAATGATAGGGCAAAAAGGATCGGGGACAGTGGGCAGCCCTGCCTCGTTCCGTTATGTATAGGGAAGTGGGGGGGTTGCGCGTTTGGGATGAGTAATTTTGCTTTTGGGACTGAGTAGATCATTTTGAGGGCTGTCATGAATGGTGTTGGGAATTGGAGTTTCGCGAAGGAATTGGAGGTGGCGAAGAGGAAGGGCCATAGTAGTCTATCAAATGCCTTCTCGGCGTCAAGGGATAGTAGGAGGGTGGGGATGTGACGGTGATTGGCTACCCATATGAGGTCTAAAGTCCGTCTGGTGTTGTCGCTCGCTTGTCTTGTGGGGACAAATCCGACCTGGTCGGGGTGAATTGTCGATGGGATGTAGGGGAGCAGTCTGTTGGCAAGGATTTTGGTGAAGATTTTGATGTCTACGTTTAATAGGGAAATGGGTCTGTAGTGACCTGGTTCTATATGCGGTTTGCCAGATTTGGGTAGTAGGCAAATGTTTGCCTCCAGCATGTCCTCGGGCAGCTGATCTCCAGTCATGAGCGAGTTATATAGCTTTGTCATGTAGGGTAGCAGGTTGTCTGTGAATGTTTTGTAGTAGATGCCCGAGTATCCGTCCGGGCCTGGGCTTTTGTTGGGTTTCGTGGTGCCTATGACTCTCCTCACCTCCTCCTCTGTAATTTCTGTAGAGAGGTGTGCTTGAGCCTCCGTCGTGAGTGTCTGAATGTGGGCCTTTGCTAGGAGGGTTTGTATGTTATCGTGTAGGGGGCCGTCATCTTGGCGGTGTTGAGGGGAGTGGTCGTATAGGTCAGTGAAATACTTCTGGAAGGTCTCGGCTATTTTATTGGGTATGTCGGTTGGTTGGCCTGTGGGGGTATGGATGGTGGTGATTTGCTTGGCTTGCTGGCGTTTGCGTAGCCTTCGGGCCAGTAGTGTGTCTGCTTTGTTTGATTTTTCGTAGAACATTTGTTTTGTCCATTGTAAAGCTTTAGTTGCGTCTTTCGCCATGGCCTGTTTAAGGGCCTGGCGCTGGTGGTGCAGTTGTGTTGTGAGATCTTGTGTGGGGGTTAGTTTGTGTTGTGCTTCGAGTTGTCTGATCTGGTCCAGTAGGGATGTTATGTGGGCTATGTGTTTTTTTTTTTGCGCCGTGGCTATGCTAATCAGGGATCCCCTGAGCACTGTTTTGTGTGCTGCCCAAAGTACCGCGTGTGATTGCACCGAGTCTTTATTGGTGTCGAAGTATTGGGTGAGTTCTGTCTTCAGTTGGGCAACTATTTGGGGGTCATGGAGTAGTATAGGGTTGAGCCTCCAGGTCCAGGGTCGTGAGATTTGTGGTGGTTGGAGTTGTAGTGTGATGTCTGCGTGGTCAGACCAGGTAATGTTGCCTATTGCAGAATTTGTGACGTGGGGGATTAGGGATGGTGAGATGAGAAAGAGGTCAATGCGGGAGTAGGTGTGATGGAGGTGCGAGTAGAACGTGTAGTCACGGTCTGTTGGGTGTTGAGATCTCCATATGTCTATGAGGCCCGTTTGGGTTATGAAGTCGGCCAACATTTTGTCCGCTCTGGAGGGATGGGTGGGTTGCTGGGTGTGGGGGGAGTAGCGTTGTCTGTCTATAGATGGGGAGATTGTAGCGTTGAAGTCCCCCCCTATTATTCTTTGGTAGTTAGGATGTTGGCTAAGGTGAGCTTGTATTATCTGCCAAAATTGTGGGTCTGGAGTCGTCGGTGCATATATGGAGGTCAGAGCTATTTTTGTGGGTCCAATAGTGCCAAGTACTGTTATATATCGTCCTTGTGGGTCTTTTTGGACGTCTTTAAGGTGTATAGGGCAATTTTTTTTCAGTAAAATTGCCACCCCATTATGTTTGCCTGTATGTGAGTTGGCGAGGTGACAGGTTTGGTAGTGACGGCTTAGGAGAGGGAACGGGCGTGTGTGAGCGTAGTGTGTCTCCTGGAGGAAGACCACGTCTGCCCCCGACCTGTTGGCCCACCGCATAACCCGGTGGCGTTTCGAGGGGTGGTTGAGCCCCTTGCAGTTAATGGATATGCATGTTACCTTAGCTAGCATTGTGGTGTGAGGGGTACTGCGGTGTCGATCGTGCCTTGGTCCTGCCCCCTGTGTTGTGGGTGGAGGTTTGGGGTTGTTGCGTTGGGTTTCTTCCCGTTTTGGATGTGGTTCTAAGGTCCTGTGTCCCGCCATGGTACTCTTCGGGGGTAAACTGTGGGTACAAAGAAAAATAACTGTGAACATATATACAACTTCCTGGACTTATGGTCTGTGCCAGGTTCAAGTTTAGTGGCGTATTGGGAATGTCCCTTAGGTGGGACTCCAGTGCCCCGGTGTTAACTTGGGGCGTGGTGGGGGTAAGTCCTGACGTGCGTCCCGGTCCAGGTGTGTGCGGATTTCCACTGGGCAGTCGTGGGTTGGGAGTGGGGGATGGTGTCTTTGGGTCTGTTAGTTACAGATCTGTCTGGGGGGGTTGGTGGCTCCCGTGGGTTAGGGGGCCCTTCTGGGGGAGGGGTGTCAGCATGGTCTCTTGGGCTGGGGTTCCTGGTGTCGAAGTCGGGGTTAGGGCGGTCCCGGCTTTCCTGAGTCCCTGGTGTTCGGTTATGGGGCGTTCTCCCCCCCGTCTCCCCCAGGTTGTTCCAGTGGGGTGGCGTGTAGCCTATTGTCTGGGGGTCAGGTGGTTCACTGTGGGTTTTCCCTATCGTCCCAACCTGTTCCCACTTACTTCCTCCCCCCTCCCAACTCCCCCTAGTTTAGCCCGCTGAAGTGGTGTGGCGTTCCCCCTGCTCCCCTACCTCCCGCTGTCTAGTCCCCTTGGTGCTGAGTGTGGTGCCTCTTTTCTAGTTTGAGCCATGCACATTTGCAGGGCTTGCTAGCTGTTCACATGTATACAAGTAGACAAATAAACAATCGTGGCACGTATGATCAGCGTCTCTACATTTAAAGTACGTAAAGGATATTTGATGGGTCGTTGGATAGGTGCAGTCTCTGTGTTGCGGCTTGCTCTTTATTGAAGCCGTCGTTTCGGTGCGCCTTGTCTGGGTTCAGGGTCGGTGCGATGGAGTCAGGTCATCTTCGGTCCGGTGCTTGGCGTAGCTTTTGGGCTGTTCCCGGCGTGGTGGTGTCTTTGCGGCAATGGTTTTTCCCACAGTGGTTGTAGTACTGGGGGTCGTCTCCGTGCAGTGGTGGTAGTGGTGTCAGATCTTGCCACTGGTAGGCGCAGGCCCAGTTTGGAGGCAAAAGCTTGCTGTTTGGAGGGGTCTGTGAGGATGTGGGTCGTGTTGTCTCTGCGGACAAGGAGTTTGAAGGGGTGCCCCCACCTGTAGGCTAAGCCTGCTTGGGTTAGTGCCGTTGTGAGCGGTTTCAGCTCTCGACGTTTGGCTAACGTGGTGGGTGCTAGGTCTTGGTAGAATGCCAGCGTGGCGGTGTCCAGTTTTGGCGGGCTTTTTCTGG